TTTTCTAAAAAAAGGTCTAGGCCCGAAACGTCAGCCTTCCTGCTCCTCTGATGCTGCCTGGCCTGCTGTGTTCATCCAGCTCTACACCTTGTTATCTCAGATTCTCCAGCATCTGCAGTTCCTACTATCTCTGAACCAATTTTTAATAATTTTTTTTTCTCTGAGAGGGTGGTGAAATCTCTTCCTGAAAAGATGTTGGAAGCAGAGCCCTTGAATGTTTTTAAGGCAGAGATCAATTGATTCTTGTTAAGTACAGGAGGTGAAAGGTTATCTCACAGAGGATAGTGGGTCTGTGAACTCTCTTCCCCAAAGAGCAGTGAGCATTTTTAAGGGAGAGGTAGATTGATTATTGACTGACAGGAGAGTCAGAGGCAGTCAGAGTTAGACAAGGAAAGTGGAGTTGAAGCCACTGATCAGATCAGCCATGATTGTATTGAATGGTGGTGCAGACTCGATGGGCCAAATAGCCAACTCCTGTTTCTAATTAATGGGTGGATTTCCACATTAAAAATGAGAGGGTAGAGGAGGAAGACAAAAACAGAAATTGCTGGAAAAGGTCAGGAGGCTTGGCAGCATCTGTGGAGAGAAATCAGACTTAACGTTTCGGATTGAGTGACCCTACTTCAATTTTGCCAGAGGGGTCTACCAGGCCCTTTCAAGCTCTCTATCCCAAATATCTGCTCAGTCTAGGGCCAGCCCCTCATGTGGCTGATGTTCGGGGCTAATTCTAATTCTAAAGAAGGATTGTATAGAGAAGGCTGCAATTTATTCTCCTGTACTTGTGGGACTATGTACACTGCACCACCCCTTCAATGAAGGTGTGGTGTAAAGACGATATGGCAGAGCAGGGTACACAGCATCTATTTCTGACAGCTCCATAATGAGGAAGCAACAAAATCCAGCCCGATACTGAAGATTAGGTCGGAGCAGGATGTGCTCGGACAGAGGGGATCGGCTTCTGATAGTTCTCACTGAGTCTGGGTTCATCAGGAGCAGTAAGGCTGAGACCAGTTATACAAACAGCTTTGTGTGGATTAGGGTGGGTGAAAGCTTTTTGCATTGTACCGAATCCTTAGAACTGCCTCAGACTGAAGGTGTTTTGCAAAATGGTAATCAGTCCAGTCCTGTCTGTTGCTGTGCGAATCAAGCCTCAGCTTCTGGGCATATACCATCTGCCTAGATTTGCTGCTGTCAAGTAATATATAGCTCTCTGTCAGTACTCTATGAAAATAACATATCTCCTGAATGTGGCGATCGCCGGCTGGACCAGCATTTCTTGCCCGTCCCTGGTTGCCCCTTGTGAAGGTGGTGGTGAGCTGCCTTCTTGAACCGCTGCAGTCCACCTGCTGTGGGTTGACCCACAATGCCGTTAGGGAGGGAATTCCAGGATTTTGACCCAGCGACAGTGAAATTATCAGCTGTAAAGGGATTTCAAAAGACCTTGGATGGTGTAAAAACATATCTCATTGGTCTACATGTGATTTCATATTACAAGGATCAGCTACACAGGGCAGTTAGCAACAAGCAATAAAAGCAGATTTACCTGAGACACCATATCCCCAGGTATAACAAAACACAACCGATTCACTGAACAGGCATGTGACAGTCTTAGGCTCAGCTTTTGTTCAGATACAAAGTGTGTCCACACCTGCCTGACTCAGGATTAACTCATTACCATGGGGGAATCCAAGAAAACATCATGTGGCTACATGACATTGCAATGTTTAACAGTCAATGAGGTACCTCAAGGTGCTTGGTGTTCTATAAGTAAATATAAATGTGCACAGCAGGATTTCACAGTGATCAATGTGTTTCCTGATGGTGTTGGTTGGGGGAAGGCTATGACTGAGGCAAGTAAAAATCAGTCGCCAATCTATGATTATTATAGTCTCTGAAGACTTTGGAGATAATAAGACTCATCATTGCCAAGAAATAGAACAAAGAGATGGTTGCCAATACTCCAGCTCTGCCTTGGAGACTGTAGAAGAACATTACTGTGAGCAACTCAGGGAATGGGATCTTCTTAAAAATGTGTCTTTCAAATTTTCTTTGTGATTTTCTTTTCATTGGTTTTGCTGAAATTGACATAAAGGTAATTACTGACAGCCAGGAATCATCAGATTGGAGACTGAAGAGCTTGATGTAGGTGGGAGAAGGGGGATCACTAGGAGGACTGACCAATGGTGGGAGTGGGAAGTTGTGGCTGGGAAAATGGAGAACACTGGGAGGACAGACCAATGGTGGGAGTGGGAAGTTTTGGCTGGGAGAAAGGGGAACAGTGGGAGGACAGACCAATGGTGGGAGTGGGAACTTGTGGCTGCGGGAAGGGGGAATAGTGGGAGGATGGCCCAATGGTGGGAGTGGGAACTTGTGGCTGGGAGAAGGGGGAACAGTGGGAGGACGGACCAATGGTGGGAGTGGGAAGTTGTGGCTGGGAGAAGGGGGAATAGTGGGAGGATGGACCAATGGTGGGAGTGGGAAGTTGGACACATGAGAAATGTATGATAGAATCTCCAGGTATGCCCTTGGCCAGGAATAGCAAAGTTGTCTGCCATGTACAAGTTAGTCCCAAGGATGTGATGAGTATCCCCTCATGTTTTATATGAAAAGTTATGAACAGAAAAGTCATGGCCCTGCCCCCACCACCCGCCCCCCGACACCGCCCCCATCAGACATTCCTGGGATACGGATAGCACTGGGTAAAATACAGAGTAAAGTTTTCTCTATATGTAAATAGAAAGAAATGTTTCCCTTACTTTTGAGACAAAAATAAAGTCCCTTCAATTTTGGAAACTAGTAATCAATAAATAAACTGAAAATGGCTTTCCCCTGACTCTGACCCCACCAACCACTCTTCGGATAGGGACAACAAGGGGTCAAAAAGTAAACTAAACCTTTCCTGACTCGTTCAAAACCCCATCCAGCACATCTGGGGCAGGAACAGTATGAGGTTGAAATAAAAACCCCTTTGGCTCTTTCCAGGGGTCCAAAATCAACATGAAAGAAAAATAAAACAGCTCTTTTCTGGGCACAAAATCAAGAACAAACACAAACTTAAGAAAAACACACAGAAACTTACATTACTGAATAAAATATCATTATCCAAACTGATGATGCCCTCCAGCACCATCGTCCCAAAAGGGTGAGTTTCCCCAATATCCTATGCACACTAAATTATAGAGAGATCGCTCTCTATCCAGTAGGCCCCAAGCCTTTGTTTTCTGAAGGCCTCAGGCTCTGGGTGGGCCTGATGTGGGAGTAGAAGCCTTTGACTCTTTTAAGATCCTTTGTTGCTCCATCCATGCTGTGGCCCCATTGACGATTTCTTGCCTGTGCAAGTGGGCCCCATCTTGTGGAGCTGTGGTTACAGTCAGATCAACCATGATCATATTAAATGGTGCCTTAAGGGGCTGAATGGCCTTTTCATGCTCCTAATTCCTATGTTTCAATGGGGGGACTGGTGTTTACAACCTGCTGAGTACGTGTGGTGACCCCTCATCCCAGGGCAGTAGGTCACTGGGAGGGAATCTGTGTTGGGTGAAAGTTTTGTCCCTAACCCCATGTAGGTTGGTAGAATGGAGGCCTCTCCATTAGTGGCTGCACTTTAGCTGCCAGGGGCCTAAGCTCTGGAACACCATCACCCACACATTCCCCTCCAAGCCACTCACCATCCTGACGTGGAAATATATCGCCGTTCCTTCACTGTCGCTGGGTCAAAATCCTGGAATTCCCTCCCTGAGGGCATTGTGGGTTGACCCACAGCAGGAGGACTGCAACGGTTGGCCTTTCAATACTAGAGGCAGAGATTTATGGTGAGAGGGGAAAGAATTAAAAGGGACCTTAGGAGCAACTTTTTCACACAGAGGGTGGGGCGTGGAATGAGCTGCCAGAGGCAGCGGTAGATGCAGGTAGTGTTACATTATTTAAAGACACTTGGACAGGTACATGAATAGGAAAGGTTTAGAGGGATATGGGCCAAACACAGGCAAGTGGGACTAGTTAATTTGGGAAATCTGGTCAGCATGGATGAGTTGGACCGAAGAGTCTGTTTCTGTGCTGTATGACCCTATACGTGCAGTCGTACAATATCCTGAGCTTGAGAATTTAGAGCAGTTATAGAGAGACAGAACTATCCTCATGGTTTGCAGAATCCTCTTAAGTGAAGGCAGAATGTATTGAGATATTAATTTCTCTGCCTTTGTTTACACAGAGATGATCCACACTGACTGGATGGAGTTCATTACCACTCTTCTCATCCTCAGCCTTCAGGTGCTGTGTTCCCAGGGATGTCTGGAAGGATGCCGTTGTTATAGTACGACAGTAGAGTGCGGCTCTCTCGGACTCACAGCTGTGCCGCCCAATATTCCCGCTTTTACCCAGGTAACACAAGCTGACTGATGTAGCAATTCCATCTGGCACATGTCCATTTGCACTGAGTCAGCAACGAGAGGTGAAAATCATGCCAACAAAATGGGGTGGCACAGTGGTTAGCACTGCTTCCTCACAGTGCCAGGGGTCAAGTTCAATTCTACCTGTGGCCAACTGTCTGTGTGGAGTTTGCACATTCTCCCTGGGTCTGTGAGGCTTTCTTCTGGGTGTTCTGGTTTCCTCCCACAGTCCAAAGATGTGCAGGGTAGGTGGACTGGCCATGCTAAATTGCCCATAGTGTCCAGGGATGTGCAGGTTAAGGGGCTTAGCCATGGGAAATACAGGGATAGGGTAAGGAGGTGGGTCCGGATGGGATGCTCTTTGGAGATTCAGTGTGGACTTGATGGGCTGAATGGCCTGCTTCCACACTGTAGGGATTTCATGATTTCTACGAAAATCAAAAACTCAAAGACAGAGGGTAGGCAGAAAGAGTAAAAAGGAAGCCTATCATCTAAGAGGTGAGAGGTTGCAGAGCTCTGAGATGTAGAGGGATCTGGGTGTCCAAGTGCATGAATCAAAAAAGTGTTAATATGCAGACACAACAATGAGTTAGGAAAGGTAGCAGAACGTCATAATTTAATGCAAAGGGAACTGAATGCATATTTAGGGAGGTTATGCTTTAGTTATACAGAGCATTGGTGGGACCACATCTGGAGTACTGTGTAGATTATTTGCATTATTTGAGGAAGAATGTTTATGCTTTGGAGGCAGTTCAGAGAGGGTTTGCTAGACTAACATCTGGAGTGGAGTTGTCTTATTAAGAAAGGATGGACAGGCTGAGCTTGTGGAGTTTACAAGAGTAAAAGTGGGGAGGCAATGGCCTAGTGGTATTATTATTCGACAGATAATCCAGAGACGCAGATAACATTCTGGGGACCCAGGTTTGAATACTGCCACAGCAGATGGTGGAATTTCAATTCAATAAATATCTGGAATTAAGAATCTAATGATGACCATGAATCCATTGTCAATTGTCTGAAAAACACATCTGGTTCACTAATGTCCTTTAGGGAAGGAAACTGCCATCCTTACCTGGTCTGGCCTACATATGACTCCAGACCCACAGCAATGTGGTTGACTCTTACTGCCCTCTGGGCAATTAGGAATGGGCAATAAATGCTGCCTCACCAGCGATGCCCTCATCCCGTGAATGAATAAAGGGGAAAAAAATTGAAACATTTCAATCCTGGGGGGTCCTGACAGAGAAGATATGGAGAGGATGTTTCCTCTTGTGGGAGAATCTAGAATGAGGCATCAATGTTTAAAAATTGGGGACCACCCATCTAAGACAGAGATGGGGCAATTTTTTTCTCTCAGAGGGTCATGAGTTTTTGAAACTCTCTTCCTGCATGTTTCTGAGTTAGAGGAGGATAAATTCTGGATAAGCATGGGGCAGGGGAGGGGGAGATTGGTGAAAGGTTATTGGGATGAGGTGGGAATGTGGAATAATCAGATCAGCTGAGATCGTATTGACCTGACGAAACTGCGGATGCTGTAAATCAGAAACAAAAACAGAAATTGCAGGAAAAGCTCAGCAGGTCTGGCAGCATCTGTGGAGAGAAATCAGAGTTAACGTTTCGGATCCAGTGACCCTTCCTCAGATAGGTAAATGTGAGGTGTTGCATTTTGCTAAGACAAATCAGGATAGGACTTATACAGTTAATGGTAACACCCTGGGGTGTGTTGCCAAACAAAGAGACTTAGGGGTGCAGGTGCATAGTTCCTTGAGAGGTAGACAGGCTGGTGAAGAAGATATTTGGTACACTTGCCTTCATTGGTCAGAACATTGAATATAGGAGTTGGGAGGTCATGTGGCAGCTATACAGGGCATTGGTGAAGCCAATTTTAGCATACAATTAGACCAGTTAATTCTGGTCTCCCTGCTGTAGGGAAGATGTTGTTAAACTTGAAAGGGTTCAGAAAAGTTTAACAAGGATGTTACTGGGACTAGAGGGTTTGAGTTATAAGGAGAGGCTGGGTAGGCCGGGACTTCTTTCCCTGGAAAGTAAAAAGGTGAGGCTTATCGAGGTTTATAAAATCCTAAGGGCATGCTTAGTGAAGGTCTTTTCCCTAGAGTGAGATTGTTCAAAACTAGAGGGTGTATTTTTAAGTTGAGAGGGGAAAGATTTAAAAGGGACCTGAGGGGCAACTTTTTCACACAGTGGGTGGTGCATGTATGGAGTGATCTACAGAGGAAGTGGTAGTTGCAGGTACAGTCACAACTTTAAAAGACATTTGGACAGGTCCATGAAAAGGAAAGGTTCAGAGGGAGATGGGCCAAACACAGGGAAATGGGACTAGTTCAGTTTGGGAACCTGGTTGGCATGGATGAATTGAACTGAAGGGTCTGTTTCCATACTGTATAATTCAAAGAATCTATGACACTCTCTCTTTCTCTGCGTCTCTGTCTCTGTCTCTCTCTCTCATTCTTTGGTTTTCTCGCTCTCGTGCTCTCCCTCTCTCCTTCCCATTCTCTGTCTTTCTCGCTCTCTGATTCTGTCTTTCTCTATCTCTTCCATTCTCTTTCTCTCATTCTCTGTTTTTCTCCCTCCTTTTCCAATTCTGTCTTTCTTTCTCATTCTCTGACTGTCTCTCACATTCTCTGACTCTCTCTCTCATTCTCTGACTGTCTCTGTCTCTCTCTCATTCTGTCTTTCTCTATCTCTCCCATTTTCTCTGTCTTTCTCTCATTCTCTGCTCTCTCTCTCTGAGCTAACTGGGATTTTGTTCATTCCCTCAGACACTATTTTTACAAGACAATGATATCACTCACATCAGCCAGAGGGACTTTTCCCATCTTTCCCAACTCCAGAACCTCTACATTCAGAATAACAGCCTCAGCACTATTGACTCCGGTGCTCTGTCCAGGCAACACTTGCTCGTGGAATTAGCACTGAATGGAAATCGCATCCAACACCTCAACCACAGCATCTTCGAGGGTCTGGATCACCTCAGGGTCTTGTACTTGGCAGGAAACTACATCAGCTGGTTAGCAAGCCTGACCTTTCGAGGACTCCAGGTACCAGGCCCAGAGTGGGCAATGAGCGAACAGGGGAGAGGGCAATGGGGGAGGGAATGGGCAATGAGTGAACAGGGGAGAGGGCAATGGGGGAGGGAATGAGCACTGAGGGAACAGGGGAGAGGGCAATGGGGGAGGGAATGGGCACTTAGGGAACAGGGGAGAGGGCAATAGGGGAGGGAATGGGCACTGAGGGAACAGGGTAGAGGGCAGTGGGGAAAAGTGTGGGCATTGAGGGGGAGTGAATCATCAACAGGACAGTTGAAATGAAATCTGAGCAGAGGGAAAGTGTGGAGAATTGAGGCTGGATCTGGCACTGGATGGAGAGGAAACCTGGGAATTTTTCAGGGGGAGAGACTGGGATTGGACAGGGAGAGAGACTGGGATTGGACAGGGGAGAGGCTGGGAGTGGATGGGCAGATGATCTGTACCTGCCCAGAAGAGAGGGAGGGAGTGTGGGTGGATCAGGAGGAAAGGCACCAAAGAAACTTCAGTTCGTGATCTTAACTTTTGTTGAGAAATCTGGGGCATGAATAGAGCACAAAAGACAGAGTGCAAAGGGCAAAGGGCAAAGTTTGCATGTCATTAGTGAAAGATTATGACAGTGAGTGTAGAGAGTGAAGGGAATGGGGAAGCAGTAGGGAGTTGGGAGAGGGGTTAGTATTTTGAAACCTGATGGTGTGTTTTTTTCCCTTAATCACTTGGCCAGAGACTACAGGAACTCCATCTTCAGGAAAACAATATCCAGTCTTTGGCTGACCAAGCTTTTGAGGGGCTCTCATCACTAGCCTTGCTGGACCTGAGCAGCAACAGGCTCCATACACTGCACCAGGCATCAATCCAACCCCTGAAGAGCTTACAGGAGCTCCGATTGACTGGTAAGAGGATGCTCTTAACATTGAAATATCTTACTGTCTAAACACTCACAGCGTGACAGACAAGGTGTTATTTACAGTGATATCCACACAGTGTGACAGACAGGGGATTATTTGCAGTAATATCTGCACAGTGTGACAGAGGGTTATTTACAGTAACATCTGGACAGTGTGACAGACAGGGGGTTATTTACAGTAATATTCACACAGTGTGACAGACAGGGGGTTATTTACAGTAACATCCGCACAGTGTGACAGACAGGGGGTTATTTACAGTAATATCCGCACAGTGTGACAGACAGGGGGTTATTTACAGTAATATCTGCACAGTGTGACAGACAGGGGGTTATGTGCAGTGATATCCATGCAGTGTGACAGACAGGGGGTTAGTTACAGTGATATCCACACAGGGAGCTATTTACAGTGATATCCACACTGTGTGAGGCACATGGTGTTATTTACAATGATATCCACACCGTGTGACAGACAGGGAGTTATTTAAAGTGATATCCACACTATGTGATAGACTGGGGTTTATTTATAGTGATTTGCACACAGTATGACAGACAGGAGTTATTTACAGTGATATCTACACTGTGTGAGATACAGGGTGTTATTTACACTGATATCTACACAGAGTGTTACTTACAGTGATATCCACACTGTGTGACAGACAGGGAGTTATTTAAAGTGATATCCACACCGTGTAATGGACTGGGGTTTATTTACAGTAATATCCACACATCTTCACTTAGATACAGGGCCAAAAACTGCTCACAATATTCCAAACACAGTCTGACCAGAGCATTATACAACCTTAGCAGTACATCCTGCTCTTGTATTCTGGCCCTCTTGAAATGAATGCCAATATTGTATTTGCTTTCCTAACTACCATCTGAACCTGCGTGTTAATGCTAAGAGAATCCTGAACTACAACCTCTATTAGAATGGAATCCCTAAAGTGTGGAAACACAGGCCCTTCAGCCCATCGAGTCCACACTGACCCTCTGAAGATCATCCCACCCAGACGCACCCCCCTTCCCTATTCCTGTAACCCTGCATTTCCCATGGCTTTCCCACTTAGCCTGCACATCCCTGGATTCTCTGGGCAATATAGCATGGCCAATCCACCCTAACCTGCACATCTTTGGACTGTGGGAGGAAACCGGAGCACCCGGAGGAAACCCACGCAGACACGGGGAGAACGTGCAAACTCCACACAGCCAGTCACCTAAGGCTGGAATCAAACCCGGGTCCCTGGCGCTGTGAGGCAGCAGTGCTAACCACTGAGTCCCCGTGCTGCCCCTAATTCTTCCTACCTCACACTTTCCCACACTGTATTCCATCTGCCACTTCCCTGCCCCCTCACCCAGCCTGTCGAAGTCCTTCTGCAGCCTCCTGCTTCCTCAACACTAACCTGCCCCTCCACTTATCTCTGTGTCATTTGCAAACTTAGCAACAATGCCCTCAGTTCCTTTGTCCAGATTGTTAATGTATAACGTGATCGTTAAGGTGACATGTGAGTAGTTGTGGTCTCAACACTGACATCTGTGGAAATCCACTGGTCGCTAGCCACCATTCTGAAAAAGACCCCCTTAACCCCACTCTCCGCTTTCTGCCAGTCGGCCAATCCTCTATCCATGCCAATACCTTGCCCCTAACACCACGGGCTCTTTTCTTATTTAGAAGTCTGCCGTGCAGACATCAGAAAAGTGAGAAACCACAATTTAACAATCAAGAAGGTAGCTCAGTACCACCTTCTGCATGGCTATTGGGGATGGGTAATAAGTGGAGGTCCAGTTAGTAAGGCTGACATCTGATGAATGAATTTTCAATAACACTGCCCACTAGCAGGAGCAGGTACAGTGTTGGAAGGAGGGGACTGTACATCTCAGGGATGTTTGTAGCACAGAGGTCACTAGTCTTTGGGGAGGAACAGCCAGTCCTCAGGGTGAGCTTTCTAGGTTTTGGGAAGGGGTTGCCAGGATTCAGGGAGAAGTTGCTTGGATATAGGGAGACGTTGCTGCACGGCGAGTTACTAGGAATGATGGGGGGTTCTTTTGCTGGTGCTAGCGGTGCAGAGAGGAAGGGCTTGCTAGGGCACAGGCAATTCTGCTGATGAAGGGTGTGATTGCTAGGATACAATCTAGAGTTAACAAGGTGTAGAGCTGGATGAACACAGCAGGCCAAGCAGCATCATAGGAGCAGAAAGGCTGACGTTTCGGGCCTAGACCCTTCTTCAGAAATAGGGGAGGGGAAGGGGGTTCTGAAATAAATAGGGAGAGAGGGGGAGGCGGATAGAAGATGGATAGAGGAGAGGATAGGTGGAGTGGAAACAGACAGGTCAAAGAGGCGGGGATGGAGCCAGTAAAGGGGAGTGTAGGTGGCGAGGTAGGGAGGAGATAGGTCAGTCCAGGGAGGACGGACAGGTCAAGGGGGCGGGATGAGGTTAGTAGGTAGGAAATGGGGGTGCGGCTTGAGGTGGGAGGAGGGGATAGCTGGGAGGAAGAACAGGTTAGGGAGGCGGGGATGAGCTGGGCTGGTTTTGGGATGCGGTAGGGGGAGGGGAGATTTTGAAACTTGTGAAATCCACATTGATACCATTGGGCTGCAGGGTTCCCAAGCGGAATATGAGTTGCTGTTCCTGCAACCTTCGAGTGGCATCGTTGTGGCACTGCAGGAGGCCCAGGATGGACATGTCGTCTGAGGAATGGGAGGGGGAG